TTTCGAAGCATTTTCGCAACCTAACCGGTTTCAGGCCTTGTGGCGGTGACGTCATATCATGTAACAGATAAGTGTTAATGTTTCGGCATAAAGTAGAAACCTTAGGAAGCCTTATCATTTGGACAAGTAAAAATGTGAGTAAACATGACGTCATCCCCATTTCTCCCACGAAATAAAAGAGATAAAAGTAAACAAAAGCCCTATGATCCTGTCCCAGATCTATTGATACCAAGCGATTCGCACCTTCTCATGAGGAAAACTAGACGATCACACAATTATGATAAAAACACAACCAGCTAAGGATACCCAGCGTCGAAATCCAGTAATATGATTTTCGTGTCTTCGGTGCCGTTACGAGAACCAGCCGCACATGCCAGCAGATTGTTAGTGGCTTTCAGGCGCCAGATACATCCACCGCTTCCACCCGATGATAAGCGAACAAGATCACGAACAAATTCTCCTAAAATCAAAGTGATTCTTCTCTTACGTCCAATCCCACACAGAATACACGAGGTACCAATGTGGGCCCGATAGATATTATAGAAAACGATCATAAGGCTGCTTTCATACTTTGCGCCGCTGAGGTTCGTACGGATGGTGCGGACGGTGGGATAGAATGAAGAGCAACGCGAGCACTGGGGCGCATGACGCTCACTTAGCGTACAGTCGGTAGCTCCCGATCGATAATTTTAATTGCAATACAGCCTGTCCATTTTCTAAAATGTTTTGCATGCTGTCTTGCTTTCGTTCTTTTTTTCTGGCATAGATTTTTTCTTCTTTGTCCTAACCAACATTTTTCAGTTGTCCCTGAACGAGTAGTGTTGTGCAGTTGCATCTGAACGAGCTGTAAGCCCCAGATGAGGCCACCAGGACAACATTTCATGCAAAAAAAATTGAGCAAAAAAAAACTCGAACGAAAGCAAGACGGCACAAAAAACATCAGAAAACAAACAGGGAAACGTGTTGAACTGAAATTATCGATCACAACCACCAACTGTACGCCAAGTACGCGTTGCGCAAGTGTTGACGTTCTTTAATCTCTCCGCACCGTCCGCACTGTCCGCACGGACACAGACCTCAACGACGCAAAGTATCAAAGCAGCCTAGGTTCCTACGCGAGCAGACACCATTTGCTCTCAAATCCCGCTTCTGGAAAATTCGGGCCCTCAATTGCTTAACATCAACAAAAATGATATCATCATCACCTTTTACTACATCCCATAACTTGACGGCTCCATCATCGCCACTAGTTACTACAATGCCATTTTCAAGGAATTGAAGTGAAGTGATCGCCGATGTGTGCCCATTTGGACCATGAAGGCGATACATACACGAACCGTCTCGTATATTCCAGACCTAAGAGTGAGCTCACTATTCAAGAAAAAGACAAGTAGAGACCAAAACATGTGAATACAACGTAAATGTATACGAACTAAAACAACATATGAGATATTATAAAATATTTAGAGGCATAGGTATAACTAATTATTAAGACTAAGTATATACTACTATAATGTATTTTATTTGTCCAACACCCCATTCAAATCTTATTATTAGTCATAAATTCCACTTACCCGAACATCGCTATCTGCATTGCACGATACCAGGATGTCACCTCTCAACTGCATTCCCGACGTCAACGAATGGTGACCAGAGAGGACACTTATGCATGCTCCTTTTGAAATATCCCACACTCGTATGGTAGTATCCAAGCTACCACTGACCACAATATTGCGTTGTGCATCAAGCTAAAACGGATTCTTGTGAACATGCTTGAGAACTGGGGCCGGGTGCAGCAAGTCCCTCGTACGAGGGGAGGGGGATGCGTCCCCTCACTCGAGAGAGCGCTCAAGGGTTTCGTCACAGGACCCATCATTTTTCGATGGGTCCTATGACGCGACCATGCGGGACGGTCACTGGTCACTGCCGTCAACCCTCTGCGTCTCTGCCGGCAGGGGATACATCCCCCTAGCCGAGACTAGGGGGATTCGTCCCCTCACTTGGCGACGCGGAGAAGCGACGGCAGTGACCGTTTCGCATGGTCGCGTCATAGGACCCATCGAAAAATGATGGGTCCTGTGACGAAACCCTTGAGCGCTCTCTCGAGTGAGGGGACGCATCCCCCGTACGGGGGAGGGGTACCCCTCCCCTCGTATGAGGGGTTTGCTGCACCCAGCCCCTGAAGAATTGAGAAAAAAATTGGAGAATGAAAATGATTGAAAAATGAAAAAAGAAAATGAAAAAAGGAAAAAAAGAGGAATGAAAAATGAATGAAACTCATGAAGATAAGATTGAAAAGACAAACCAATAAAGAATAAACGCGATTGGTATGCCCAGTCAGAGTATATAAGCAGCCACCTGTTTCGAAATCCCAAACCTGGAACAGAGACTGTTAGCTAATAGCTAACTAGATAAAATTCACGAAAGTGTTAATCTTCCCATGACCTTTACACTAGAATCTAGATGATGCAAATGATGGTTACAATTGCGAAAACCAGAGCTGCTACGTGAAACTGCCAAGGAAGTTGTTAGCGATCGAAATGGTCGCAGTTCGATTCGGGACACAATTTTGCATTCTATGTTGGCGTCTCCAGATAGGTCCCAAACAGTGCCAGCGCCGAAAATGCATCTCGTTTCCGTATTCGAGGCCATTAGTATCCCTCTCAAGTTTACTTTTACACAAATACCATAATACCAACGTGGCATCAAGGGCGGTGTCAGAATCCGCGATCCTTCGCGCAAATCGCAAAAGTAGCAAGTGCTCCATTTGAAATTGGTCGACGGACTACTTGAACTCAGCCCTTTAAACCGCCTCTGCGCTCTCTCGCGGGTCCCTCTCCTCTCCAAGGCTTAGTCCTAGGGCATTCACCCGTTCTCTAATCGTCTGTGCTCTAGCCATCGCGGCAGGACCATTGAGGAAAAATCAAGTAGTCCGTAAACCTTTTAAATTTGAAGTACTGGATAGGAAACAAGTAGAATCATGAACAGTCGTCATTCAACCATCACCATCAAGCAGAAATGGCGGCGGGATTGGAGAGCACCTCGCAGTATTGATCGGGCACTTGTGATTTCTGTGATCCGTCTTGGACGGATCGCGGAATCTAACACCTGCCTATCAGCTAACTTTGAGCGCTCACAACTTCCATGGCAAGTTCATGTAACACTTTCTTTTCATATTTGTAACCGGCATTCAAGACACTATCGACTTACTAAGTTTCTGGTTCAAAATTCCATGGGAAGTTGACACACTACCCTGGTTAAGATCGAGTCATATTTTGCAGTTTGACTTGCAGTGAAAGTGTAGAACAGATACGCATCAATTGTACGGTCGTGTGGAAATTGCGACCGATACGTTTGGTTTCACAGTCGAACAGAAGCCAAACGGCAAAGTACGATTCGACTCGTATTCAAAAGTTAAGTAAGTGCGAAGCAAGGTGCACTTGTGCTATTCATAGGAATTACACTTTCTGCTGAAATGCCAAGCATACACACAACACCCAGAAAAAGACAGAAAACAGTCAAAAATGGATGTTTCAAAAGAGTAGAAAGGAGAGTGAACTACCTTTATAGTAAAATCATAGGCTCCTGATACAATACGACCGTCATCGAGGTCGAACTGCACGCACCGCACAGCTGCTACGTGACCAGCGAGATACTGTTCGCATACTCCTGTGTCGACATTCCACGCTCTTAGCGTTGTGTCGCGTGAGCCCGACACCAAACTATATGAAATTATAGTGACAATAATACAAAATTTTGAAGCAGCCACAAAAGCTGATCGATTGACTAAAACCTAATTGAACGAAAAATTCTCACATGTTGCGACAGAGGCTCATGCACCGCACCGTGCTTGTGTGCCCATGGAGTGTGTGAATCAGTGAGCCGTCCTTTGCTGACCATACCTTCAAAAGTAGAGGTTAGTTATTACTTACGATGACCACACTGCCCTTACCTTCACAGTACGATCAGTGGAACCACTAATGATGTACTTTCCGTCTGTCGATAGTTGAGAGGTCCATACACCTCCTGTATGACCAACGAGAGTGAAGAGAAGCTGAAGGAAACCAATTAAGTATTGAATATTCGTATGCGTCGCCCCTTGAACGAACTATATTCCAGCTATAAACGGAGTTGACCGAGATGCTGCTTGCTCAACGCTCTTCTTTTCAAGACCAAGTAATGGCAAAATAATTGAAAGGAGGTGAGCTTCTGTTTTACCTTGCCCTGTTCGATGCTCCAAACCCTCAGTGTATTGTCATCGGAACCAGTTACGAGCATATCGCCTTGGATCTAAACATGCACTTTAATTACAAGCATTGGCGCCGTCAAATATTAGCTCTACTAAATGCCCTCAAAAAAGAGCGGAAGAAATTGGAAATGAAAAAACCTGCAAACAAGTGATCACATGCTCTTCATGACCTCTCAATACCATGCTTCCTCCGATCGGTAAACGTCTCCAGTTTGCAGCTATTCTGCATCGGCGCAAATATGTAGCCTTCCACACGGAGCGTGAATACACACTAAATAATTGCAACAGATCAGTTTGTATTACCGGAAATTGTAAAAAAAAAATGGACTGCGACCATATCCTTCTGTTAGCATGTTATACAACGTTCGTTCCTATTGGCGCTAGAAGGGCTTACGGCGGAGTTTGCTAACTTACAGACTGCCTGATGTCTCTCCATTAACATCCAGTCAGTCGAGTGCAGCTTCTAACGAACTTGGTGAATGGCATTCCCGCTCGATTGTTGTTGTAACTCTTTGAAGGTTAAGATTTGGTTAGCCCACATCTTACATGCTTCGGATTCTTATCATACCTTTTCATCCTTATTCCCTCAACCTTATTCCTACATGTCCCTTTACGTGACTTTTCTGGTGGTGCACGGTTTTTTGTGTAAAAGCACTTACACATATAGGGTGTTACTTGTTTATTTTGTGTTATACTGACACTGATGTTTTTTACCGATGGCGCACCTAGAGTGCATGATAAATGAATAAATAATTATCTTCGATTCAGAATAATGAAATAGCTAGTGAGAAAATTGAGCATAGGGAATGAGGGCAATGAATGAGGTGTGTGAGCTACATTTCATGTGATAAAGTTTGAACATTAGACCTTGTCTTGTCTTGTGAAACAGAGCAGAGGAGCAAAGGGATTAGATGCAACAATACCAAATCTTCTACCACTAACCTTCCATAACTTTGTCCCCTGATCTTGCGATGTTGCTCCAATTCTGCTCCCTTATAATGATCCACTACAGTGACGCCATTACCCATTGCTGTCTGTTCCCATGCGCCTGCTACGCGTTCACTGAAACCTTGCTCTTAAATTTCACTAACGATGAAAAAGAAATGAAATTCGATCTGCTGCACATACGACAGCTAGCAAAGAAAATGTACAGCAAAGGGACTCACTGAGCAACTAATCTGTCTAATGGTTATTATAAATAACTGACCTTGGTACTGGCAGTGGTTCTAGGCCTTCTCGCTCACATTTCAAACGCCACATGCGGTCATCTTCACATATGTCACGCCAGAAGCGAGAAACCCGAGCAGCACGGACTATGTCAGCCATTGGGAGATTTGCGACAATTTGAATTGCAAGCTAAAGGAATATCTCATTATATTTACAAAAATTCAGAAGACAGATGGAAACCTCATGAACAACGAAAAGAAATAAGATCAAGTTATAAATCCAAGAATGCAACAGCCATCACATGAAAACACGTTCCAGTAAAACGAAAACTCCAATAACCTCCACAGGTAGATGTGAAAGAAAATCCTTCTGGAAAATGAGGTTCTATCAGCTGGCGAACATGGCGAACATGCTGCAGT